GACTGATTAAAAGTATTCTTATTTACGTCTGTTTTTGGCTTTCGTTCCTGGATGGCAACTGGGGGGGGGGGGGCAAAAACATGAATGGTTCAGGGGGATTAAAATTGTTTCTGGTAAATTTTGAAATCACCCTAGCTGAAAACTTTGGTTCATATCTCTTTTTTCTGGGGCCTTCTATTATCCATAGGACTTATTGAATCTTAATAGATCAATAGGCTATATTTCTTGATTCCAACAGAATCAAACTAGAACTAAGAAGAAATTTTTCTGACAGTGAGAACAATTAATCAGTGGAACGATTTGCCTCCAGAAATTGTGGGTGCTCCATCATTGGAACTGTTTAAGAAGAGATTGGACAACCATTGGTCTGAAATGGAGACAGGTCTCCTGGTTGAGCAGGGGGCTGGACTAGATGATTTCCAAGGTACCTTCCAACTCTGTTACCCTATTTATCCTATCCTATTCATCAATATTAAATCATTTTCACCTTAAGATTTTACAAAATCATATGAAAGAATAATAAATCTTATGCAAAACACCCTCAAACCACCCTTTTTTAATGTTTATTAAATCTGTGACATTATAGTGCAATTTTAATTTTACTTTATTCCATTGTATTATTAAAATAGCTCTTTTCTCAATAGAGCGACACGGTGGCTCAGTGGCTAAGACACTGAGCTTGTCGATCAGAAAGGTCGGCAGTTCAGCGGTTTGAATCCCTAGCGCCGCATAATAGAGTGAGCTCCTGTTACTTGTCCCAGTTTCTGCTAACAGAAGCAGTTCAAAAGCATGTAAAAATGCAAGTAAAAAAATAGGGGCCACCTTTGGTGGGAAAGTAACAGTGCTTCGTGTGCCTTTGGCATTTAGTCATGCCGACCACATGACCATGGAGACATCTTCGGACATCGCTGGCTCTTTGGCTTTGGAAAAGAGATAAGCACCGCCCCCTAGAGTCGGGAACGACTAGCACATATGTGCAAGAGGAACCTTTACCTTTTTTCTCAATAGACAAAGCAAAACAACTTCAGAAGAAGAAAATCCTGTTCTAAAAATCTATTTGGGCCCACAAGGAAAGCAACTATTTAATTGTGTTGATGGAAAGGAGAAATATTTGGTGTTAAATCACTGGTGATTCCGTTCTAAACCAGTCAGTCAGTTGAGAATCTTTAGAGCCATTTCTGCAAGGCTGAGAATGGATTAAGAGTTTATCCTTAAATATTTGCTTGCACCAGATATAAAGAGCCAGAATACTGCTTGCTTATGCTTCAAAACTACCCAACAATACTTGCTTTGTGATTAATATTCTTACAAGTGTCAATAAGGAAGCAATGGGGACGTCACAGTGCTAAGTGACACCGAACTGGGCTGAAAAATGTGGCTTGAATATGATGACTCAGAACATTTATTTTTAAAATGAGAATGTGAAATGTGAGACCTCATTACATAAGCTATTGTCTATAAATGGAAATCTTAAAGTCTACCAACTTATTCTTCTCCAAAAGCCTTTAAAACAGCGGAAATTACAAAGTAAGTGGTCTGTCTTTTGACTCAACCTTGAGTCAATCACTGGTGATTCCTTTCTAAATCTGTCACTCAATCAGCTGAGAACCTGAGAAACATTTCTCCAAGCCTGGTAATGAAGTAAGAGTTTATTGTTAAATATTTGCTTTCATCAACTATAAAGAGGTAGAGGTACGTTTAAAAAAAATGGCTGTTGTATTTTTCTATGCAGTCTGCTGATTATTTCTAAATATATATAAAACTAAGATTTTATTTGATTGAACAATCAGAATGCTGTTTTTTATTTATGGCAGACTTCAGAAAGGTAAGCCTCAGTTCTATATGGTATTTCAATTCCTTTGAGCACGTGCATTTTTCTCAAGGCATGTCTTAATTCCATGTGTGCTTTTTACAGTAATGAAGGCTGGGACTGAAACAGGCATTTTCTTACTCTATCAGCAGATTATATAGATAGATGATAGATAGATAGATAGATAGATAGATAGATAGATAGATAGATAGATAGATAGATAGATAGATAGATAGATAGATAGA